GTCCAATTTAAGTTACACAATCTAATAGATTTGATACTCTTTGTTTACTTCAATTCTACTTTTGAGTTTCTTAGTTCAACTTGTTGCCTTGTTCACTTCTCTTAAATTCCCAATTTTATATTTTTCAATTTTTCCATCACTCTTTTATCAAGTTGGTTTGATTTAGGTATTCTATGACTTCCCTTTTGTTTGGTTATATTTTTTTAACTAGGCCAATTGATGAATACTAAACACTTTGGTTTTCTCATTGCCATGGATAAGTTTGTTTAATGATGGGTTTCTTTTATCAGATGATATTAGCTAGATGAGGTTGATTCCATTATGGTTTGCTTTAGCTTCTTTATCATGACTTTATGTTTACAATTTCTTGATGTTAAAATTCATGTTCTATGTTTGAATTCATTAAATGGAAATTTTCAAGTTTTTATTTAATTTTTGGAATATTAAATTTCCTTTTTAATTCTTGACAATTTTTTTATTTCTTTTTTCTCTGCTGCTCTTTCAAGGTCAAGAATCAAATCTTACACCTATTAATCATTTCTCTATGGAACTTTTAATTAGTCAAATTCTGTTGTTTATTTAATTATTGGCTAATGATTATTATTGATTGGTTTATCTGCCTGATTTGCCTTGCTTGCAGAGAAAGGAATATACAGAGCCAAGTGGGTCTTTTGGTCCAGCATGTTTATTGAATATTTCTTTTTCTTTTTTCCTTCTTTCATATTTGTTGTTTTTTTACTTATTCATGAGTTGTATAACTTACTTGAAGTGCATTAGAAATGACCTTTCATATTTAATTTTCACTCTACACACATTCAACACAGAGTTAGTGAGGTCTTGATGTGCATGGCAAATAATGTCACTACATGGCTTAACTAAGATTTAAAAATCTGAGTTTGAGAGATGATATAACCATTCAGGGTATTATAACTCTTTAGAATAACCTACTGGTATGCACAATGTGGATTGCAAACTTAATTTATAAAGGATGGTTGTAGATTGTGAAAGTGTGCATGATATTCTTTGCTATCACATATTGGGGAAGAGTGGACTTTATGAAGTTTGGTCATAGGAATACAATGGATGGTCATCAGGTTCAGCTTCATGTTAGTCTCGGTTAGAGGTGTCATCTCCTTACTAGTGATCTAGGGATGATATACTTGTCAAATTGCCACGATGCTGAGGTCTTGATTGTTGGTATTAGCTGAAATTGCTGTATTTTCCTTGGCAAATCATCCTTTCACTACATGGCAGGTATATTTTTCTTATCTCATCTGAAACTTTGAGTTCTATTTGGTATCACCTATGCTTTTGAGTTTTTCCCTTTTGGGTTTTATTTTTATTTTTTTTGTTTTCTGCAGTTCTTTTTCTTCTGTTTTTAATTCAAAAATAAAATGAGTTGAAAAACATAGATGTTTTTGTTTGCTGTTTGAGAATTTTACTAGCAGCTTCTTTGGAAATTTGCAAAAAAGATTTATCTTTTTTGGCTACAAATTTACACTAGACACTGTATATAATTAACGCTATTATGTGTTATATCTTTAAATGCTATTTATCTTTTCTGTATCACAGAGTTTGATTATATTAGTTACATTTGATTTCTTATTATATATTGATAAATTTCAGAATTTTTTATGATGAATTTATTTTTTATACATTTGAAAATGATATTGATATTACAGCATATATTTTACCATTATAAATATTTATAAATAATAACAAAATGATAATTAATTAGTTATATTTTCTTATAGTCATACTTTCTTGTATCTCTATTATGACATAATTCTTTAATTGTTTTATGTTTATGTTGGACCCAGTTTTGTTATTACTTATTGTAATTTAATTGAGATTTTTTTTTTTTAAAAAAAAAAAAAAGAGAAAATTTCTCTTTGAAAAATAAAAAGTACTGTGAAAGGTAACAGAACTAGTCCACCAAACTTTTAATATATATATATATATATTGAGAATTCAAAACTCAAATCTTTACCCATTTTCATTTTATTAATCTTTTGTTTCATAGAGCTTTCAGTTTCTTAA